GTTTTTATCACTGATGTTCTTCACACAGAATGGCTTCAATGAGCCCTTGATGGGAGCTGCTAATGCTTCTCTGCAGCCTTTCACTCATGTCAGGAGAGATTACGGGAAAACATTAACACCCTCCACCGCAAAGAAGCGCTCCCATCCTGTTCCAGGCTCTCAGCGCCTCAATGGCCTTTATGCGGCTGCTGCATATCTTTGAAGCAGCTCCTAACCCCCGAGGAAGGATCCTATTACCTGGCACGTCCAGAAAAAAAGGGAAAATGGATTTTTTTCCCCCCCAAAGGTAGCTGAGAAATGTGGAGCCTGGAATTGATTCATTCTGATGTCACACCCGTAGCCTTTAATCGACCTCAACGTGCGGCTCAATCATCTAGGTCCTGTGCCAAGGGTCGCAGCTGAGAATGAATGAGTAGACATTGAGGAGCTCATTGCTAGCCCCTTAAAATCCACTCTGCCAGGCCTGGAAGTCCTGGGAGAAATGGCACAGCTTATTAAGCTCACCCCTGCATTGAAGGGCTTGGTTCTCAGGTGGCCTAGTCACCACAGCTCAGCTGACTGTCTTGATTTATACCAGCTGAGAACTGGGCTTGGAGCATGTGTGAAAACTTGGTTCTGGTTAGGTAGGGTAAATCCCATCCTGGAGATCTTGGCTAAGCCAAAACAATGTAATGGGGCTATGCAACTGTACAAAATACACAGCAGAAACTGCAATCAGGGCTCGTGATACCTTTTATGAGACCAGCAAGGTTTTTGCAAAAAAAAAAAAAAAAAATCTTTAATTGCAGAATTGTAATAATAATATAGAATTTAATAATAATATAGAATAATAGCAGAAACTGAACAGACTCCTTTCACCTGCATGGAGATTTGGTTGCATGAATTTAAAATGAGTGTCAATCATAGGTAAGTGGGACTGGAAGAATTAATGTAAAAGAGGCACTAGGGGATTACATGTTCCCATTGCATTTTAATGCACTGTGTTAGCAATCACTTTTTTACTACTTTCTTATCCTTCGCCATGGCTGACTAACCTGACCACAAGGTGCTAGGCTGCCACGGTGCCCAAAGCAAGACCTGGAAGAGCTGAATCCACCCTTTCCCTTGCTAGGGACACCACGCGATCTAATTAACGCCCAGAGAGTGGGAGAGGCAGGCAGACCTCTGGGTCTGGGACAGAAGTTTTATAAACCAGTTCGACTCAAATCGGTTAAATCTGATACGACATTCAACCAGGTTTATCTTAAACCTGTTTCAGCCATTTTGAAACTGGTTTATGTGCATCGAACTTCTGTTCTGTTACAGGTTTAAACCTGTTTCTGATCGCTTAAACTGGTTTATGTGTAATGTCTGTCCCTAGCCCTGGATCCCAAACCTGGCTCTGCCCTTGACCCGCAGCACGTCCCTAGATAGGTCTCAACCTCCCTCTGTCTCCATCTGCCCATTTGTGAAATGAAGATGATAATCCATTGCCCAAAAGCTTCTGGGGCATGGATTTTCTGTTCTGTGCGTGGCCGGAGCCCAGCCCAGCCTAGCAATTCATGACAACCAAGGCTCCTAAAGCTACAGCATTTCAAATAGGGATGCTTTCCTACCTTAGACGGGGGTTGTGAAGTTTGGAAAGTGCCCTGTGATCTTTGGTTCTTCCTCACAGCATCCTTTTCAGGATGATAAAAACTGTGGGAGCCCCCGAGAGCCGCCAGATGGTGCATTCGAGTAACTTTTCAGGCCAGGTCTGTTGAACTCCAGGCTTTTTGATTTACAGATGAAAAATGACACTAGGGAGCTGGGGCCTGACAGGCAACCTGCAGCTAAGCCATGCTCTGAATTTGTTTAGACTGCCTGGCTTCTTGCTGATTCAAATCTGATAGAGAAGGCCCCGAAGTGAAGGGCACCCAGCTGCAGAGGAAGAAGGCTGCAGGGGTGCAAAGCTGATCTCTCAATCAGTGCCCACATCTAGGCTCCATTTGTGATAAGTAAAAAGTAAGCAGGGCTGCATGCGGGATGGAGCTTCCTGCTAAGAACTGAAACATTTAGAGAATTAATGTTTATCTGCCCTGAGCTGCCTGTCATGCAGCCCTCGATGGCTTGCTGAAACTCAGGAAGTGGCCCTCTGCCCAAAATAATTGCCCGCCCCTGCACTAGGGAAAACTGATGGGGCAGGCAAAGCAATTTGCACTCATTGTTCTTTAATTATGGCAAATTGTCTTACTTTTATCTTCCTGCAGGAGCCTAATTTACTGTTAATTAAGAGACAGTGTTTTCTAGCTGTTGGGAGAATCAAGGACTAGTTTTACTTCCTTGGTTTATTTGCTAATTGAACCCACTCCCATCCAGCTAGCCTCTACTTGCTATTTTTGCCGTAGTGCCCCGAGGGGAGAGGAATCCTGCAGCATTGACTGGAAGATGCTGGCGTTGCCTTCCAGAAAGAAATGAGCCCGACCTGATACCTTCCCCTCATCTTGATCTTAAATTTCTGCATCAGAGTCCCGCCAGAGTTGGCAAACAGTGCCTGCGGTTTCATGGTACAACCGCGGTCCTGGACAAAGCATGCACAGACCTGGGGGCATCAGAAATGTGGATGCGGTGGAGACTGATTAACCCATCTCTGTTTTGATGGTCCAGTGTGGTTCCCTGCCATTTTCACTCTTCTCTGGTTAGCAACAGACCCTCTGCAGTGCTTCCTGGAGACAGTGTCGATGCTGGTGGCACTCAAGTTAACTCTCTTTGTTTTCCAACAGGATGGCGGAGAGTGGGCGAGGAAAGGAGGCTGGGTGCGAGGATGTGGTGCTTGGATCAGATCACGTTGGCACCTTGCCCCTCTGGAGGGCAGGTCAATGTCCAGCGTTCAGCCTTGGGTTTCTCTGCAGTCAGGGAGCAACAGCCATGTGCACATCTAGCCAGAGGTGGAAGTGGCCTGAGAGTCCCAACTAGTTTCACGCAATAGCAGATAATAGGGATTGCACCTTCTACTGCCAGAGCCAAGAGTTGAAGTAGATGCCACGGGTCTGATAATGGCATTCCCCAGCCCCCGGAGAAGTAGATGCACTGGTGTCCTTACTGGCTTCCTTAGCGTCTTGCCAAACAGCCAGAGTACACAAGGCAATTGGACCGCATGGAGATGTCTTTCTGGATCAAGGACTGTGGCTTCCAGCCCAGGAGGTAAATGAACAAAGTGTTGCTCTGTCCCCAGCCAGCGAGGATCACCTCCGGGGCACCGCTCAGCAAACAGCCCTCGGGCCCACTGCCCTGTGCAGGGAGACCTTGGTACGAGCTGTGCCCTGTGCATGGTCGGATGGCTGAGGACATCATGCATGGGGCAGTGATACCCTCCTTAGTAAGAGGAGAGGCCCCAGGTGCAGCGGTGCGGCTGAGGGAGGGGTCTGCCCTGAATGCCAGGTACGTGCTGTCATCTCATTGGGGATCTCTTATAACTTCTGAGCATGTCTGTGCGGTTGGGAGGAAACAGTTTGCACACAGGTAGGAGACTACTTTTGTGTATGTGGGAGCCGGCGGTAGACATGTCATACTCAAGCTTGTGGCTTTTATACTCAGTGTGTGTATGTGTGGCAGGGGGGGCTCTGCAGTGAAGGCCGAATCGTTTCTCACTACCAGGCAAGCAACACTCGTGTGTTTGAGTCTGACAAAATCCTCTGCCGCATCTTAGCCCCTAAGTGAAGGAGCAGCCGGGGTGACCTGGGCCCCTTTGCCAGCAGTAGACATTCTTGGTAGAGGCTGCTGGGGTGTGTGAGCATCAGTCCATGCCTCGGTCCGATGCTACCCTACTTGCATGCAAAAAGACTCTAGCCACCAGAAAAAGTTATTGAAGTCATTCTCCATGGGTATCTTCATTCCCTTCCTGCTGTGCTCCTAATGGCTCGCTGATTGTGACACTAGCACACATTTTTCTCGCTTCTCTCTCTGCATCCCTCCTCCTTCCATGGGCCTTTGCTGAGCTGCACAGCACAGAAGCAATGACAGGGTGCGGGGAAGATTCAACATACTGCAAGTTCAGATGCTCCAAGGACATTAGTGGTGCAGCCCTTGCTTAGCAATGGGTTTGTCCTTGGTGCCTTGGCACATTTCCTACGTAGAGAAGCTCAGGCAGTATCAGCTGAATTTCTGCATGTGCATGGGCTTGGGGCCTCCTGCCTTTTGCTGCTAGAGAGCAGGCAGATCTCCCTCCTGACTGCTCAGTGCAGGTTACATGCCCACCTCCACGCGCAGGGCAAAAAAGATCCCATACAGCTCTCGGAAAGTCAGGCTCTTTAGTTAAATTCGCAGACGTGCCTACTTTTAACTTTGGAGGGCCCCTGAGTCATTTCCTGGGGGCAGTCATCATACTGACCATCACCCAAAAGGAGACGATGGTTGTAGAGACCTTAGTAGACAAGCCTCTTTGTTCTCCCCATTGCTGGGTGTGCCTGCTTGTCCTGGCAGATGTGGGAACGCGCCTTCTGCAACATATAACTGGGCAATACACAGAGGGGATATTTATAGGGGAGAGCAGAGAATGTCCTCAGGCTGGGCAAGTCACCATGAAGAGTCTGTTATTCCCGGCCTGAAACACAGGGTCCTTTATGTGCCTCGAGCTCCCGGAGAGGTGGAAGTGCAGACGGGCTCCTGCAGGGTCTGAACAGGAGGCTGAAAGATGCCCCTTAGTTATGGGCTCAAACCCTACTCAGACTACTCCCACCCCACATCAGGAGGAGGGATGTGGGGACCTTTTAGTACCATCTTTAATTTTCCCTGAGCCTGCAGAAGGGCGCGTGTGCCCAAAAGCTTGCAGAAAAAGATATGGTTTTTTGTGATTTCTTAGCTGGTCTAATAAAAGGCATCGTCTCTGAACCAAGAGCTCCGGACTTTTTGCATTTCTGAACTGCTGAATACATTCAGTGGCTGAGACAGGGATGCTATCATGAGATGTCACCAGATGTATCCCCTTCCCTCTGGCTGGGAAACCAGGTGGGACAACTCACAGTGATGGACTCTTTTCTGGGAGGTTTCTGTCACTGCCTGCGCTGGAGGGCCAAGCCGCAGGGGGATGCTGATGTGATCTGAATACGTTCCCTCATCCCTGGGGGGACTGAGGAACATCCCCAGGAGGCCACGGTGGCCATCAGCTGGGCCAAGGCACTCGGCACTGACCCGGGAGCTGTCGGCTGCACTCCCATGACTGGAGCAGACAGACTGGATGGAGAGGGGGCCTGTATAACACACTCCCCCGACACGCCTGAGATGGGTTGCCCTGCACAGGTCACAGTCCCATCTTTCTTCCAGGCAATCAATGCTAGCATGAATAATAAAAAGGGGCTATTACTTACTCGGCCTCCTGTATCGATCCCCCTGCCATGCCGAGGGGCATCGCAACAGCCCAGAGGTCTCCTGCGAGCTGATATCCCTGAGTTTATTTATCCAAGGAGAGGATTTATTGATCAAGCAACTTAGAAGGGCTTTTTTTTTTCTCTCTCCCCTATGTAGAGCCATAAAAAAGCTTTTCTGAAATTAAACTGGAGCTGGAGACATGCTCCCGGTGGGGAGGGGCTGGTGGCGGCTTGGCAGTCCTTCTTAGCATTTCATTCCAGCTCGCAGTGAGGGGAATGTTAAAGCACTGGCACGCTCAAGGTTGTATCCAAGTGCTTTGCCTTGTGCACGTGATGCCCGTCGCCTTCGTTCTGGAAAGTGGGGGGGGGAGAGAGGTTTTGCGTTTAAAAACCCCACTAACCTCCTCATTGGGAAGTAAACACAGGCTCAGCAGTCTCAGAAATCCTCGGGAGGGTTGTACCTCCTCGTGCCCTGCCCCTTCTCCTTTCTAGCTAACGTAGCCGCACTTGACAAGACCGAGTCTCTTCCAGGGGTATGAGGTTGACTGGCTGAACAAGGCTGTCTTGCAATTAAGGTCAGGCAGAGTCCGTATCTGACTCCCAACCAGAGGCTAGAGTCCTATGCCCAACCCTAAATGCAGCAGCCTGCATCTGGCTGTGACTAACTCCTGATACCCATACTACAGCCAAACTAGGTATGGGATGGAGTGGGCTGCATAGAGTTCTCCATGGCCTGGTGTGTGTCTGGTCTATCGTCCACATTCGCTGCTGCCCCGTTTCCTGCTGCTGGCTATTGGGCCAATGCAGTGAGCTTTGGGAGGATCCCTCTCCCTGCTGCCAGCATGGCCGAAGGAAGATGCACAGTGCCAGAACACTGCTAATCCACACCTATCCAGACCTGGGTTTTAAATTTTCCTTGGCCATGACAGCCTGACATGAGTGAGAGCGGTCTTCAGGCTGCTCTAACATAGTGCCAAGGGCCCAGTCCTGTACAGAGCATCACCAGAATTAGAGCCCTACTGAGGCAAACTCTTTACATAAGTGCTTCTGACTGACTCTTTGCAATCTGGCCCTTCACTAGGGTCAGCGCCAGGCAGACGTGTTTACCAGCATCGTAGCCTGAGAGTGATGTCGTAGCTGTGATGGTCCAGAAATGATGCGAGATGCAAGGATTTCTTAGGGTGATATCTTTTTTATTGGGCTGATTGCGTAGCTGAGACAACATGCATAGTATCGGCATACAGGTGTACTTGGATCCCTTCCACTGGGTGGAATTTAATCACCAGGATAGTAAAAAACCCAGCTTGCTTAAAAAGTCATCAAACCATTTTCAAAGGTTGCAAAATTGCTCTGATTTTGCAGCTCAGCGACCGGTCCCAAGTCAGGATCTCCCTGCACAGATGAAATGCAGCCAGCTCAGGCCCGGGACTGCAGCAGCACCAAGTGACCTAAGGGGGAAGCAACTGTTTCCGAACCAGAGGTGGGTAGAAACATTAGCCTGTGGGAGGTATGGATCATGCCAGTGATGGGACTAGGGCTATCAAAGGGCTGGGGGAGACTGCAGAAGTTGGGTTATGCTGAGACGGCAGAGAGAGCCGTTTGTCTCTGGAGCGGATAACGGTTGCCAGTGGAAACAGATGGTTTGTTCTTTTGTGTGCGAGCTTGAGTAATGCCCTGACATTTGTCATCTTCAGGCCTGCATTTTTGGGGTTTTTTTGCTTGGCACTAATAAATCACCGTGCACCTGCAAAATGGAATCGAATGCGTTCACGTCTCCCTAAGTTGCAGAATCATCGTTACTGCACGCGGGTTTCATTGAAAAGCACAAAATGTTCGCGCTGAACATCTCTCCCGGCCCTCTCCAGGGCACGCTGGGATATGTTGAGCCTATTGGGGGGGAGGCCCATTGAGGTCTCAGCCGAGACCACTCTGATTGTGGCCCTTCAGCCTGCAGACATCATGCCTATGGGTCACAGACATTGCACGGGGCGTTTCTTTTTGAAGACAACGGGCCACCTTCTGTCTTCATAAACTTCTGTGCTGTGCAGCTCAGCAAAGGCCCATGGAAGGAGGAGGGATGCAGAGAGAGAAGCGAGAAAAATGTGTGCTAGTGTCACAATCAGCGAGCCATTAGGAGCACAGCAGGAAGGGAATGAAGATACCCATGGAGAATGACTTCAATAACTTTTTCTGGTGGCTAGAGTCTTTTTGCATGCAAGTAGGGTAGCATCGGACCGAGGCATGGACTGATGCTCACACACCCCAGCAGCCTCTACCAAGAATGTCTACTGCTGGCAAAGGGGCCCAGGTCACCCCGGCTGCTCCTTCACTTAGTTGCTTTTGCTATTCCTCGGAAAGGATCCCAATTTCCAGCAAGTCTCTTGTATCTGCAGAAGCACAACTCACCTCCATCCCAACCCCTTGTTCCTGTGCATGGGGGGTATAAAACATTACCAGCTGTGCGCTTTCTTTGCACTGGTGTGAATATTGCCATAAAATATCCAGCCATGGTGCCCTGATATTGGCTGCTCAGCAGCTCACAGCCTGTGTTTGCTAATGAATTCCCCACACTCAGAAAGTTGCACCTGGGTGCGTGCTTAATGTGCATTAGCCTAATAAGACTGCACAGTAGCGTGGCGGCTACAAACGTGCGAATAACCTAATGCGCAGTGTTATTAGGTTAATGCGCAGTAAGCATCACAGAATAACCATGTACTGGCACTACTAGTGCCTGCACATTTAGTTAGTACTTCATTAAGCAAGTACTCAACTACATGCGCAGTAACTAAGGAGCATTAATGAATGTGTAAATGTGCCCCCTGTTCCTATGTTTGCACCAATGCTTTGCACAGCTCTGTGGGTGAGCAGCTTGTCCCTGCGGCTTTTGGGATGCCATTGCTGTGGCTAGGATGCCCGTATTGGAGGCTCTTTGCTTTCTGCATCGTGTCACCTGAAAGCGAGCGGAGATGGAGAGCCTCTAGGAAATGCTTTCCCTCGTCAGCCCAGGGATGGCTTGTGAGAATCAGCGCCACTTTGCTGCCGGGAAACCGGAGAAGTTGCATTCAGTGTTTGGGAGTGGTAATCGCTGCGGCCCTTTCAGCTGCATGCGGAGGAGAGGGAAGATGAGAACACAAGGTTCACTCCAGTCAGTCAAACACCAGTGTCCTGGAGTGCCTCCATGAATAATTGATTGTTCTCTTTGGGATTCGGGTTTCCATGGCAACTGAAAGAGGAACCAGGATACCAAGGTATGAATTGAAGTTTCTTTGGGTCTCCGTCCACTCAGCAGCTAAGAGTTGGAGTTACCTTTGGCAGGTGCTTATATAATCCAACATTGACTCGGAGATGAATTGCCTTGATCTGAGGCTTCTGCTGCTCCTGCAGTTATGCTCTTTGATTGGTGAGTGTTTCCTACGTATATCTGGCTTTTGGTGGACTTTCATGTCAGGAGATCCTATAATAAGTCTTTAGTTGGCTGCCTGTGCACATCTGTAATGTAGAGAAGACGTATAATCGGCGTCCCTTTTTTTTTTTTAGAGTGTGCATACAAACGTGTCACCTTTTCCCTGTCTGCCACGGTCCACATTTTGTTCCCCTGTTCCATTTTTTATCCGATTTGCTTGCAGTCTCGCTGATATTTCTTTTTCGTACAGAACTGATAACATTATTTGCTTGAATTCATCAGCTTGCTAGGGAAATTGGGGATTTGCTTGTGGCTGTTGTTATCTATGTAGATGCATGGGAAGAAAATCAACCCCCCTGTCCACTACAAAGGCACAAACATTAGGGATGAGTCTGGTCCATTGTCTTCCCTCCATAATAGCTATATCATGGGCAGGTTCTTTCAGGCTCCAGAGAGAGAGACGGCAGACTGGGAGATTATGGCGCTGGCCATTTGCAGGTGCTCGGAGGTGAATGAAACATTGCGGTTAAAGCAGTGGACCTGGAATGAGGACTCCTGCGTTTTCTGCTCCTAGCTCTCCCAGGGAATTACCACCCCCCCTTACTCTTTCCAGCTTCCCAAATTTTGCAAGAGGGATAATAATATTTCCAAGTCCGACGTGAAGCTTAATGGATGTTTTCAATTCATTTGGGGATCCTGCGTTGAAAAGAGCTGCAGAAGGAGTAGAGAGGAGGAAACGCACTGAAACGATATTTATTATTTTGCGTGGATCTAGTGGAAATGTAAGCAGGGAAAGTTTGCTTCCTAAAAATGGCACAGTTAAGTGACCTTGTGACATACAAAGATGCCTGCAGAGAGACCTTTTGGAAGCATGATGGCCTTCACCAGAGAATTAAACACGTTTCCCAGTTCTCAGGGACGAGCACTACGGTGGCACACGGGTTCCTGCCAGAAGCTGTGAAAAGGGGTTTGTTAGCAGGAAAACACGGGGCCGTGCCTCAGCTCAGCAGCTTCTGGGATGCCGGCAAGGGGCCAGATCCTGAGATGCCTCCTAACCTGGGACCAGCTCTCTGAAACTGCGGTAGGGGGGTACTGCGTCAGGGATAGCAGCCTGATCTCAGAAGGTGCTGGGGGAGCCTAGGACCCTCAGATCCCAGTGACGTCCATGGGAACTGCAGGTGCCCTGTAGGTTTCAGAAGCCCTCAGAGCCCTAAATTAGTGCCCAACAAGGAGTTCTCATAATGCCCTCGAGCGCACACTCGCCTCTTATGCAGGTGACCTGCTTGCAGCTGAAATCAGAAGTTGCTGAAGATGGTATTGCTGTTATTTAGCCAAGTTCAGAGCAAGGGGCCAAGGACAAGGAGCAGCGAGGTTCTGGCATGACCTCTGGAAGGGTTACCTAAGTTAGTCACTAAGCAGCAGATTCCCAACACGCCTGCCTGCGGCAGTGTTTCCTGGTGTCCCAGCTGAGACTGAAGCTTCAGCAGCTTCTTTGGGCTGTGCCCAATTCACCAAGAGCCCCCCATAGACCCAGTGCAGCATGTTGGCTTCACTGGTGTGTCAGCAGGTCCCTCTGAGATGAACGAGCGCAGCTACTTGTGCATCTCTTACTCCTATGGATGGGAGGTGGGATCTCTATTTTGCATCCACTCTATGCTGGTACCATTGCCCCAGCAGGTATCCCTTCTGTAAGGTCATCATTGTCCACCTCGTTCCAGGGAGGGGAAATCTAACAGAGCCCAAGGGCTAGGTCCTGCCTTTGTCCATGTCATTATGAGCTGGATCCATCTGGCGGTCACTGCAATGACCCACTGGTTCCCCATGGCAGGAGGTCCATAGCGCTGGAGCATCACTGGTCCATGCAACGTGACTGAGAAAAACACCCTGGCTCCTTTAGAACATTTCCAGTTTACTAATCAAAGATCATAATGATCCCTTGGGAGCTCTGGACTTATCCGTGTCCGGAGCCAGCGTGCAGGTGCTCTGCACGCTCAGCACATCTGAGCACAAGAAGCACTTACACAGGCCCTTGCTCTGGAAACAAAACAGCATAATGGCTGCTAATTAGAGGAACAGAATGAACCCATTACAAGAAACATCCTTCTATGCCACCAGGGTCAGCGTCTAACAAGACAGAGATGAATCATCCATCCTGGAGGTGACTAGATTCACGCTCTGGTTTTCTCCGCTTGGCACCAAGCTATTTGTTAGCATGAGACTGCAAACTGGGCCTGATGGTCTTATCCCAGAGCCCCACGGTACACATAACAAAACCACAGATCCTAACTGGATATTGGGACTTGGAAGAGCAGGGGTGACGTGGGCCAAGACGGATGTGGAAGGGGAGAGCCGATCAGATCGGTGCTGGGGAGCAGAGCGTGTGAAGGATTTGGGTTGATGCAAGTCTTCCCTTGCTCTGGTGAGCACTGGAGTGGATGCTGATGATTCAAATGCCTATTAGAAGCAATTCATTTTCATTTTGATCACTGCTCGGCAGTCTCTGGAGAAATCACAGCCTTGTAGCTTGGTAAATAATACAGGGACTCCCCTCTTGCTAATGCCAGGGAGAGGATGCTAAGAGAGTGGCAGATCAATGGGAATCCCTCCACAGGGATTTATCCACCCCCTTGATGCACACTTCTAACTCCTCCTGATGCTAATGACAATACATAAGCACATCGGCAGGGACCTGGCACCTTTTCTGGGCTTTAAAGAGCCTGTCTGGTGTATAAAATAGTGTCTTCTCCTGTTCTCACTCAGCAACCCTAGCTGGGCCTCAGGTGTAACAGCAGCACCAGATATGGCAGCTGGGATTCAGAGACCCTTGCAGGCGATCACAGCCTCTGGAGGTGCAGGAGCTCATATTTCCCTTCCAGTGAACCTCTCCTCTAGACTGAAGGCCAAGGCTACTTTGATCAGCCCAGAGGCAGGCGGTGCTACGTTGACCTCTGCAGATGCAGAGAGGCCCGGCAGACTCCCTTGGTGCATGACAGGGGACTGGGCTTGCCAGTTGTCTCCTCCTGACGGGCTCGCCTTCCCTTACAGGGGGACAGCGCAAGCTCCAGCGCATCATCGGGGGTCACATCGTGGGGCCGCATTCTGCCAAGTACCTGGTGTCGCTGAAGAGGATGACAGGCTCCCACTTCTGTGGCGGGTCTCTGGTTAGTCGGAGCTGGGTCCTGACGGCTGCTCACTGCAAGACCGAGTAAGGAAGGCAAGAGCCAGGATGCCTGCTTAACACCGGCTCTTTGCTGCGTGCAGTAAGACAGGAGCCCAGCTTCCCTGAGCTGGCTTCCCGGGGCATGGGGCACTGGACACCTAGGAGTCCTCTGAGCAAAGTGGGGATATGCAAGTAGCTAAATACAGACTCCTGGCTCAACTTGGGCACTCACCTGCTTCTAGGTCTGTAGAAGCCTACATTTAAGTGCTCTTGGTTTAAAGCTGTCCCCATCCTGCATATACACCCAGACCCTACAGATGCACCCACTCATGCTTCCTACACACACGTACCCATGACCTTGTCTAGTGCAGGGACTTCCATTTCTATGAGCACCCAGCAGTCTGGTGGCATCTCTCGGCCTGACCATGCGGCCTTCCCAGACCATCACGCTAGGGCTGCAGTTCAGCGCGGCATTTTAAGCAAGTGCTAACGTCTCACCAATATCCATGCATGCTCAGCCCCAGACTCCCATGTGCTCTTAAGCGCTTAAACTATCCCGGGTGCATCTACACATGCATTTTAATGTGCATTAGCCTATTTTAATGTGCATTACCGCGTCACAAAAAAGGTGCTCTTAAAATAGGCTAATGCGCCTTTTTCTAGCACCTCACAGTGGAGGTACTAAATTTAATGTGCATTACCAAAAGCACGTTAATGAATGTGTAGACGTGCCCCCTGTGTCTCAAGTCCCCATTTAAATCACTGGGTTGTAAATCTATGCTTAATGGTAAGCACATGCTTATCAGCTTCCCTGAATAAGGACAGTTTCCTGACTTGGGGCTTTGCCAGGGTTTTTACAGTCTGTGATCCTGATACACAGCACTGGAAATCCAACCCCTGTATCGGGAAGGAGCAACTGGCCATGATCATACCAGAGGACAGGGAGGGGGTTCAGTCCCATTCTCCCAGTAAATCACTGAACATCCTCCCACCTCACTCTTGCTCTCTCCCTCCTCTCTGGGGATATAATACAATTTCACAGATACCTGCCAAAAGCAACATCTGCCCACACACTCCCAGGTACATTCATGCCATCTGATGCATGTGCCAGGCAGATGTGTAGTGTGGCACCATAGGCACACAGCGCTTCAGCTCTTGATGCCAGGTGGGCTGAAGCAAAGGTGCAGCAAGATAAAAGATCTTGTGCTGTCAATTCTGGAAGTGCTAAAAGCCTTTTTAAAGCCATTTGAGTCGCCTGAGTAATCGCAGTCTAAGTCAGATGTGAGAAGGGAGAGCTTTGTCCCAAGGGAAACTCCAATAACTTTGCCTTTCTTTGCCATATCCCCGTAGAATAAACCAGATGCTAATAGTAGCCGGTGAATATTCGCTCTCCACTTTCGAAGGCACAGAACAGATTTTTCGGCCCTCCCGGATGGTGGTTCACCCAGACTACAGCTCCACTACCAAAAATGCAGACGTCATGCTGATTAAGGTAACGGGTCTTCCTCCGGGCTATAATGGAAGGAAGGCCAGCAGAAACGGGCTGTGGTCACTTCAGGTTTCTGGAGGGCTGGTCTGGGCTTGAAGGATGCTTTGGTGATCATGTCATGAAGGGTTTGATGGGGGGAACTAAGGCAGACATTGGTCAAGCAGTCCAAGTAAAGAGGACCCGGAGAGTTGAACACGATCACTATGTCTGGTTTTTTCACAATCAGTAATGACTCTTCCTCGATGTCTCCAAACAGCTGAACCGGCCGGTGGTCTATAACGCCTTTGTTTCCATTGTGCCACTTCCTCAGCAAGGCGCTACGGTGAAGGAAGGCCGCCTCTGCCAAGTCTCCGGCTGGGGGTACACCAGTCCCATCGGCGGGAGGACATCGGACACCCTACGCAGCGTGCGCCTCCCTATCGTCCCCGCCTGGAAATGCAACGCCTCGTCCTCCTATGCAGGATTCATCACCAGCAACATGATTTGTGCCGGGCTCAGCACAGGGGGCAAAGACGCCTGCCAGGTACCTGCTTATATTCTGCAGAGGAAGCTGCAAGTTCAAGCCTAGAGGAGACCCAAGGGTAAATCACCTGGGGATTGGCTATGTCCAAACTACTGAGGGTGCTCAATGGTAGATAGGTCCTTACACCTTCAGGGTCCCATTTTGGAAAAACTCAGAGCCAGGTTAGGCACCCAAAATCAGTAGTATACCCATGTAATGGCCATGATGCCAGCAAGCAGAGCATATCATAGTGGGGGACTGGGAGAAAACTGCTAGCGCAGATATAAAGCAAGCAGCTGCCATCACGTCTCCAGAGAGTTAAAGCCTTGATCACACCTTCTTCTAACTGAAGATGACTCACCCTCGGAAATGAAGCGCAGAGGGTGGGAAGAGAAGGCGGATCTATTTTTATAACCAAAAGAACAGTATGGCAAGCGAAGGATGATCTAGTTTCTTCCTCTTCCTGGATGAGCCAATAGCAGCACAGTGAAGGTGTGCTTCCCAGCAGGGTCTGCCCCAAACCATGATGCAGCTGCTGCCTGCTTTTATTTTTCATTTATCCAGCCAGACCTAATTGCACTGATGCCATCCTGCAGCGCTGCTGTGCCCACTGCTCACAGTATAGGTCATTGTGAAACAATGCAGCACTACATGGGGAAAAGGTGATGACCCAGATTGTGTTTCAGGGGCCGGACTGAATCTTTCTGGGTCTCACCATTGTGTCTGAGGGCTTAGGATCCCTTCAGTTTTGACAGATCTCCACAGTGAGGCACCTCGCTGCACTCTGCGAGAGCTGATCTGATACAGCCAAAGCCACCAGGGAGAAGGGTCTGGTGCAGTTTCCATTGAGCTGGTTTTGAGGGTCTGGAGGGCAGAGATGTGCTGATGTGTAACTCACGGGGCCAGATTCTTTGTTGGTGCAAATGGGCAAAACATAGCTAAAGTCCACATTGCCCCGTGCACTCGCACTGGGAGAGAAAACAGGCAGACACGTCCCTCCCCACATTTCTCTATTGCTTGTTGTCCTTCTCGGACTTCCCTCCAGGCTGTCTTGGTCCTTTTGGGCCTCAGGTGCAGAATGGGCTAGGCCCCACGGGTCAGACGATCCATTGTGCACAGTCATTTACACAAGGGGAAAGGGGGTTTCGTAGCACCCAACACCCACGTTGCTCTAGTGTACACAGCTGTGCCAGATGCAGGGTCTCAGCCCTCCAGGATGCAGAGTCTCGGCCCTCCAAGATGCAGAGTCTCAGCCCTCCCGGATGCAGTCTCAGCCCTCCAAGGTCGTAGCCCACCACAGGTCATAGCCCTCCAAGCCCTAGAGAAGACAGGTGCCCACTGCCATGAACGAACCCATCTGAGCAAGCTGTCACCTTTATCGCACGCTTTCCTTCGGCAGGGGGACTCCGGTGGGCCGCTGGTGTGCGAGGGCCGAGTGTTCGGGATCGTGTCCTGGGGGCACAGCTGTGCCAGCCCGCGGTATCCAGGCGTCTACACGGCTGTAGCCAACTTCCAGAAGTGGATCTACAAAACCATCTTCAGACACCAGTAGCGGCAGCTCTGGTCCCCCTTCCCGTAACGCCGCATGACATTGAGCCAATAAAACGATGGCGAGGAAGAGACAAAAGCCGCTCCGACTCTCTGCTGTGTTTATTTGGGAGTCACTTGAGGCGAGACCTCAGGAAACCTCCTTAACATTGGCATGGAGCGGCGAGGAGGTGGTGTCTTTGAAGCAGCCACTCTCCTGTGAGGCATCTATGTGCCTTGCAGCCTGCGTCAGGTACATGGCTTTCTGCCTTTGATGGAAACAGAATAACTCCACAGGTTCGCAAAAAGCTCGGGCCAATTATTGTGAAACATGCGGAGGCTGAAATTTACTTAAAAACCAGAAGGAATTTGCAGGAGCAGGATTAATAGAACCAATTTTAACTTAATTAAAAGCCAACAGAGAGGTGGGGGGAGGAAAGAAAAGGAAAACAACACGCAGTAGAAAACCCACTGAATAGATCAAACGCCGAGGGAGCGGAAAGGAGACGTCTCTCTGCACAAAATGTTCCCAGTATCAAACTAAGCTCAAAGTCATTTCCCCTCTCAGCCCTCGCTGAATTGTGTGCTGTCCTTGCAGGCCGGCTGTGCCGGGAGCCTCGCTGTGATTAATTACTAGTTTTTATTGTAGTCGTTCTCCAGTCAGGCGTCATTAGAAAGACCTGGCGGCGAGGAGCGTCTTTCCTTTGAAAACATGTGTAAGACCATGGCAATGGGGGGGCTCCAAAGCTCACACTGAAGTCAATGGCTGACCACTGAAGAGGTCGGAGTCCTCTAATGGGTCTAGCATCCTTCTCCCTGGAGCCCATGGCTTCCCCTTCAAATCATGGGGTCTTCCTCTCCTCTTCCACCCAAAGCTTCTTCTGCATTTCTATGGCTCCTCTGTGTCCGTGATTCCTTCCCCCAGTGCCTGGCTCCTTCGTCCTCCTTTAATGGACGTTCCACTTTTCCAAGCACCCTCCCTATGAACAAGCTTGGCCACAACAGTTTTCCCAGCTTGGCACCTTCCTGCACGTAGCCCGCTGCCCCGAGACGTTCTTCCCAAATGGAAAGTTGGTTAAACTGAGTCAGAGTCAGGCTGCTTTCATTCTGATCCATAGTTTGCATGATTTCACTAGTCCACTTTAAAAGTGAATTTGAACGCGTTTGCCTGAGCAGACACCCTGCTTGTGCAAGCGAAGGCAGCTCGACTCAAATAGGTCATTCTCAGAAATTCAAAGGTCTTCTTAAGAGCTGTAGGACCAGTTTTCCCAGCTTACAACCAACTCAGTCCCTGATTGCAATGGGACTGCATGGGATGTGGGGCAGGAAGGGGGCCCTGGCTGCCAACCAGCTACTGAGGCTTCCTAACAGTGTTGTGTGGAGCACCCAAGGAGCAAGCAGATGAAGCCTTGTGCAGCCATTTGCAAGGCAGGGTGGGGGGACAAGGTTAAGGAGAGATGCAATGCTGTGCAGTCTTTGGGCACAAACCGTGGCCTGTAGTGTATGGTCCTGACAAGGAGGCAAAGCCAGTCGGGGGCTTTCTGTAACGAGCTCTGACAGGTGAATGACTCCTTCCACTTTAGGCCTTGGAAAGGGGACCAGCGATGAACTCAGGGAACTGGCTGAGCTCGGGTTAGAGAGGAAATGAGTACTAAGGAACCCGAGGTCAGCCAAGCTGCAGGTAGGAGAAATGGGGGTGTGGGATGGAGATGGGGGACAAATGCATGTTGGGTGCAAACTCACTGCCTCCAACAACAGCAAGGACCCAGGAGGTGATAGCATGAAGTGCTGCCATCGGTGGGCCCATGACTTAGTGCCTGGGGTGCTGCAGTTACACTGGGGATATAGGTAGCCTGCAAAGGGTTAACACAGCTCTCTTCCTCCCTAGAGCTGCCTTGAAGTTTGAGCTGAGGAACAAAAAGGCTTTTTTTTTTTCATTTGCCTGTTTGAACACAATGCCCCCAATCCCCTGGAGATGTTATGTGTGAGAAGAAACTTGACAAACATTTCCCCCTCTGTGCCGCGCTTCCTCCATCGGGGCCTATGGGGAGGGATGTTGTGAGGCCAGGCTGCTTCCTCGAGGCACCAGCGATGAGATCCAGTCACACCAGCAGTAGCGTCGGTGCGGCACCCAGGGTGCAAAAACAGCTGGTTGCACTTCTGCACGCCAGTTTTGGGCAACTCTCCTTGGCTGCTACAAGAGACAGAAAAAGGGAGCGAGGGACCTGTAGCCAGCTCTCTCCCCTTTTGTTCTGCTTCCTCTTGGCCTAAAGGAAATGCAAAGAGAAGTGGAACAAATTAATGACGGGGTCAAGAGCTGCTCAGAGCTACAGGCCAGGAGGTCATTCTCTAAGTAGCCACATATACATCAGACTCAGTCCTCCTAACCTCCCCTCCAGAGAGCACATGTACCCAACACACAAGCTACTTACTCCTGTGTTACCCTGGGTGTAACAGAGCCTCTCTGCTCACCCCAAAGCAGCCCCTGGAGGACATAACACCTGTTCCCATCTTGGCTCCAACTGTTTCATTTATCAAGCTGGTTTTTTGGATACCTCTAGAGAGGCAGAAGAGTCAGTCATCAATGTAGTGCCTGCTATAAGAGAGGCAAAGAGATGTGTCCTCCATGTGAAAGGGATCCATATTGGTAACTAGATCTCCACGGGCTGCTTGGAGACTCCCTTCCCCTGTTTCTAAGGGGTCTCATGGACCATATGGCTGCATGATTTCACGCGAATAGCATACAGACTGCCATGTGCAACTGAGAGCACCGCGGCTACATTTATACGTACGTATGCATGCCTGTGTGTACATATAAATTAAGAAAGGTTTTTCTAGCAACTTGCAGCCTAAAATATCCCAAAGCAATCTGCAAACTTGAAGAGCCCAAAGACTAGCTTCACCCAGCACTGAAAGGAGGCTGCCTCGGGGGTGAAATACAGCAGCTGTTTAATGATGCACAGCAACACAGTCAACATTTTGATGAAGGCAGGAAAGGAGAATACTGTATCCGATTGAAACCGTAGGAGGAAGATCAGGCACACAACTGCAGTTATCCAAATTGGAATTGGGCCAGGGCACTGGAGTTAACAAACCTCTCCTTGCAGAAGCGAACCTAGATGAATGAATGCTCTATGGGGACACCAAACTGGATGCAGGCTAGTAACAAAGATGATCTATTCCCAGCCACGTTTGGGTAGCAGTTCTACTGTGTGTACTTGGGAGAAGGGGCGGACGAAGAGCATTGTAGCAATTGGGGTCTTTCCCATCTTCTGTTCATACCCCTGTGAAGCAGGATTGTTCCAGCCAATGGGGCCGTATTCACTTGTTAAGCCAAATTCCTGCTCTCAGTGGTATCAAAGCTACCCCTTTGACATCGTAGGTCTAGGGAAGAGCAGCTGCTAGGATCTTAGTTCCCCCTGAAAATGTCTTCCTG